TAGTAAAATTTTAATTTACAGTAAGTTCATGTTGTATACTCGTACATACCTGATAACTGTTGGGTTAGGTTGGTATGAGTACAAGTAGTCACGATGTCATTGATTAGAACAAACAAGAAACACTTAGTTAATCAAACAGAGACCACCAGGTAATTTTTTAAAAACACAAGCAAGAGTGGAGTAGGTTAATATAAGGGTGGGGCATTATTTTATGAATGCTGTTCTATAAAAGAAAAAAAAAGTGAAAGTAGTCAATGCTAATAAGCGTATGGCACATTACATCAAATATATAGTTTTATAACAGAAAAAAAAAAAAAAATACCTGAAAAGTTCGAAATTACATACAAAGTAAAAAAAATTTCGTTTATAGTTTTTTCTACGTTCTGACATTTACTTTTTGCTCGAATTATGATAACAGCTTTAAAATAATTAAAGGGCAATAAAAATAAGTATTATACTTGTGATTAATCTTTTATAATGTGACAAGATTTTTGTCAAGCTTTCATTGAAATATTGATGAATTTTCTGTTTACAAAAATAGTTTTCTTCAAAAATTGTTTTTTAAATAATAAGATTATATTTAAAATATTTTTTTTCTTCGAAAAAGTTATTTTTACGTAAAGAATTTACTTGTAATCTTTATGAATAAATTAATAAAAATATTAAAACAAATTTTTCATAATTTTTTAAATTATGTATACGAAAATCTTTATTTAAAATTTTTGTTTATAGGTGGTTTTTTATAAAAGTATTTACTCGTAATATTTGTGAATTTTTATTTAAAAATATTAAAACAAATCTTTACATAAATTTTTTGTTTATATGTGAGTTTTATAATAGCATAAGCATTTAGTTTTAATATTTATGAATTTTTTTATTAAAAATATTAAAACATAATTTTATAACTTTTTTTTAAAGGTAAAAAAAAACATTTTTATTTAAATTTTAAAACTATTTTTTAGAAAAATCTTTACTTTAAAACAATTTGGTTATACATTTACTTATGATTTTTTATATGTTATAAATAAGTGCCACCATAATACATACTTATAACCCTATTTGGGTTTCTTCACATAAGCATTTAATTATATAATATTATTTATGATTTTTTTATTTGAAATATAAAAAAAAAATTTAAAACTTTTTTCTTCAAAAATTATTTTTATTAAATTTTAACGATAATTTTTTTTTCGAAAATCTTTATTTAAAATAGATGGCTTTAAATATATTTTTTTTTAATATTTAAAAATATTTTTTTCCGTTAGTCTTTATTTAAAAAATAGTTAAATTAAATTTTTTTTATATGTACCAAAGAAGTACCACCTTAATACATATTTATACCAATATTTGAGGTTCTTCGCTTGAGCATCCGCTAATTAGAATAAGTAAACAATTTTATCGCACCTCGATCAAATGTCAAATATGTACATGACATTTTACTTATGTTTATGAAGCACTTAAACACTTTGATAGGTGGCCTCTGATTCCAGTAGTCAATAATTGTGAAAACTCCTCAACACTACTACAAATACAATTTGAGGCGCAATTTTGTTGCAGCAACTCTATTAACTTTACTTATTGCTGGTTGCGATTCCTCATATATAATATAGCCAACACTTTGTCTAGGCCAACAACAAAAATAATATTGACTCTTATTGCAACATTGTCGTTGGCAAATATGCTCGCATACGCACATAAGTAGTGCTGCACTTTCCAAACAGCCATCCAGTGATGCCACATTTTCCATTGAATATTAAAGCATCTGCCTGGTTTTAGTGTGTGTAAGTATGTAAGTTATTATGAAAGTAATAAAAATTGACTTTGTGACCGTCAGCCGCCAGGCTACCAGTTGACCAACGCAAAGTAAGTGCAAGGAGAACAACAAACAACATATACTCGTAATAGTTAACAACAACTGCAGTGGCATCCACAATTTTATTGCCACAACCAATAACAGCAATGTCAACAATTCCCATGCGTTGCCACACAATCGAATTCGAAGCGATGCCGAACGAGCCATTAATGCAATTTTAATTTCTAATTGTTTCTATCGGATATTTTTTTTTTCTCGTATTTCGTTTGCCATTTTTTTATGGTTATCATTTAGCGAGTGTTAGTTATTATTTATTTACCTTTTATGGTAGCACACATAGCAGGCTCATGCATATTTCATAGGCGCGTTCAATGCAAACAATGCGAAATTGCTTTGGAAAAGTGAATGAAAACTTTAATGATTCACACCGTTATGGGGATGATAAAATTGGCTATAGGCCATGAAATGCAGTCGATTGCAGTTGTGGCAAGGTGACGGCCACGGAAAAGCTCACCCGTTGCTGGTAATGCTATTTAGTGGTGACAACTTTCCTTTGTTGGTTGTTTAACGAAAGCACCTTTCTCAAAATAAAACTGAGAAAAAAAAGCATAAACAAGAATTTATAAAGAAAAGGTAAATCTTTAAAATTTGTAAACGGAAGTACAAATATGTGTTGCGTAAACAATATTTGTCAATATGTTGTATTTTGTCAATTACGGAAGTAAGTCATTTAAAAACTATCGTAAAAGTATTGGAAATTATTTTGGAAAAAAATAACAAGTAAAGTCATTGCTTCGCAATTAAAATGGACGCGTAATTTGAATCAGAAGACAAGTTTTCGAATTGAACGTCTTAAAAGCTTTTAGCCGCTTTCGAGCTATGAAGAGCTTTTGTGAAGCTTTTTATATTAAAAAATATGCAGTGATATTATATAGATGTATATGTTGTAAAATAGGCAGAGCTTTTCTGAAGCTTTTTACCTAGTACAATTTGCAGAGCTTTTATGGAGCTATCTGCTAATTACATATGTATAATACAAATTTTGAATATTTAACCTATTTTTGGAGTATATCGCGCTAGACTGATTATATTTATGTTTTTATTGCTAACTTGTGAATATATAGTATATTTTATCTTCATCATGGTCTGAATATGTTAGGTTTGAGCAAAAATTTTTGTGTATGATACTGGAAGCGAAGTACCGTTAGTACTTTTTGATATTATTTTAGCACAATATTCAATGTGGGTTAACAAAATTAAATAACTTCAATAAACTAACAACAAAATATGGAGAGCAATCGCCCTAAATATCTGAGTAAAAACAAATACCTTCAATAGCACGATGATTGGATTCGTTTGTTGACTAGTTCTGTGGAGATCATTCAGAAGGAGACTACAAAGCCATAAGTGGCGAAGCAAGCAATGATAAGCTTTCTCACGTCGTTTTTTTGCGTAAAACTCATAAAAAGATGATGCTAAATTTGGACTCTTTGAATTTAGCTCTACTAGTCAGAGTTTGGTGTGATAAGGATTTACAATTACAAAAAGTACACATTCTAGAAAAAAGTAAGTTTGAGTTCATATTATTTATATATTTTTCTTTGGTATTATCTCATCCCCATACCCCTGAACAGGGTATAATAAGTTTTACAGGAAGTTTGTAATGGCACAGAAGCAAGCATTGGATTTCTATAAAGTATATATATCAATAATCAGCGTGACGTGCTGAGTTGATAGCTATGTCCGCCCGTCTTTTTATCTGTATATAGGCGAACTAGGCTCTCAATTTTTGAGATATCGCTGTGAAATTTTACGCATGTTTTTCTACTCAAGAAGCTGCTCATTTGTCGGAGGCGCCGATATCGAACCAGTACCGCTTATAGCTGCTATACAAACTGGCCGATCAAAAGCAAGTTCTTGTGTGGAGTCTTTTGTATATGTGAAACGTATTATAGCTTTGGTGCCATCGATGCATACCTAAAAGACTGGTTGTAGTGCCACATTTTTTATTTATAATGTTTTAATTTAAATTATTGCATAAAAGCAGTGTTGAATTTATTGTTGCGACTATAGTAAACGTGGACTTATACACTTATTACCACAATAAAAATATTTTAACTTTAACATAGTGAAATGTTCGTATACATATATGTATGTATATATTAATATAACGAATCATGTAAGCACCAGTGAAAAATTAATTGCCTCAGCAATTATGTAATTTTGAAGCTATAAACTACTTGTAAGAAAGACATTAAATAAGAGAAGAGTAAGCAGTTGCATTGGTAGACAAAGAATGTCTAACTCTCTGTTTGTATTCTAAAAATATAATAGCAGTTAGTATGTAGAGAAAATTGTCATTAAAATCTTATCTTAGCACACTGACCCCACTCGCCACGCTACGGCCGGACGTTCGTTACAATTCATAGTCAGTGTTGGTGATTTTCTTTGGCTTCCACCAGATTTTCGCTTGCATTGTTCGCCACAAATGATGACAGATAAAGTCAGCAAATTTAAATTTCTTACTACCGGTATAAATGTTAGGATGCCTGTGTGTGTCGCTATGTCTGCACTTAATGAAATTTTAATTTGAAGACATAATTACAAAGGAAACACGGGCATAAAAGAATTTTCGAATTTAAGAATTTTAGAATTTTCACTTGGTAGTCGAAGAGAAGCCACTGACAACGTCCCTTCTTCATTATTCGCGCCACAGAGCATGCGCAGAGCGCCAATGCCACAGCGACAGTTTATATTTACAATAACTATATAATTATGTACTGGTGAGTCTAAGATGAAGGCAGTTTAAGATTTTGTTGGTTTGTTTGACGTTGTCGTCTGTCCGGTCGCTACAGTGCGGAAGTGAGCAGTTTCTCATGTTTCCGCGCAATAATACTTTGTATGTGTGTGTTCTTCATTCAGTGATAATTAGCTGGTGGCTGCTGGCGGTTGGTGAAATCAAGTAGTCTTAAAGGTGTGTACTACAAGCAATTAAACTGCCACCCACCATACCGCAGTTGACCTGATTACTTTAATGTATGTAATGTGTTCACTATTGTGAAGTTTTGACAATTTTTAAGTGCCAAATATGTGAATAGAATAGAATATTTTCATTGGTGCCAGTCTTACCATATGAAAGCCGAAAATTATTCTTAAAATAAATACATATATGTTGGAAAGTACTCACCTCTACAGTTTCAAGCGATGTTAATGAAGAGGTGATCTGTAAAAATAAAAGAAAAAAATTTTTAAAATGTTGCTTCAGATATAGCATATATTCAAAAGGGAAAAAGATATCTTGTCAAATACAAAATATTTCCATACAAGCACTTAATTACAATCGTTCAGTTTGTATTTCAGCTATATGCTATAGTGATCCGATATCGGCGATTCCCACAAATGAGCAGCTTATTGTGGAGAAAAGGACATATGCAAAATTTCAGATCGATATCTCCGACGTTGGTGGTTCATTACTGTATGGTTGGGAATCAAGCCAGCTCAACAAGCTGATCAGCTACTTAGCTATAGTGGTTCGATGGGTGTAACAAACATTGTTGCAAACTTAATATTTGTTTACTGTATGAAAATTTTCGAAACATATACAAATTCGTATCAATCTTCATGACATTTGTATAAATCTATTTATCTAAATGTCTTCTGTTATATTTTACTTATTTTCACATTAAAATTTCTTTGAAAAATTACGATAAAATTCAAAAACCAATTTCAACGAAATCTCTTCATCAGAAGTATGCCATTATTCATTAGGCAACACATAAAGTTGAAATTTGTTAAATGTTTTCGTAAATATTTTGCATATTTTACTGCCTTCAAATATCAAGTCGTACACGCACTAATTTCTTTTTATCTCCAAGTCTATTATATATGAGCGCTACGCTTAGAGTCTGCTACGTTTTTCAGCAATGAAATTTATGTACATCACTTGTCAGCGTTGCAACTTTATGAAATTTATGCCTTTGACTTTTGCTTTCATCTCGTGATGCCACTGACGTTGGCTGCAGCGATGCCAATGACGTTGTCGAGACTGAGGCCTAGACTGCGGCTGGTCGTAATGGAGCGAGTGATGGTGCTGGTGATGGCGAAAATGCACTCATTGCGGTGCGAGCGAACCCATAAATCATCGCCTAAAAAGGCAGCAACGGAAGAAAACCGATTTTTGCGAGCGCGTTGCCGGTGAGGAGGGTGGAGGATAGCCATATGATAAATGGGATTTGCAATGCAATGCAGTTTTGTTTGTTTTGATTTTTATTGACGTAAAATATAAATAAAGTAAGATTCGTAATAAATAGTGTGTATAAAAATGTCGCATAAAAATCCATATTGATTTGTCAAAACAAAATCATATGGCAACTTTTGTTTTCGATATCAAACCACTCTCTCTTTCGCATTCTCGCCCTTGCACGCTTGCATTTTCACTAGCAAAGCGCTTAGCGTATTTTATGGTCACATTAAAGATTTGAAGGGAAGTAATTGCAGGTCTACAATATATATATATATATAAGTATAGGTATTTATAAATCTATATGTGTATATATATATATTATATATATATATGTGTACGTCTAAGCATTTATATAGATTATTATGCGCGCACGCCTCCGCAACGAATGCGCTCCATTTGCATTAAGAAAAGCATAAATTTGAATTTTACGCCACAGTCGTCAGTATGGCGCGTCCACCATAAAGCGGTGGCGGCCAAAACCAAAATGTGCGGCAGACAGACAAACATATCTGGGCCTTCGCATCAGATGTACGACTGTGCCGGTGACAATATCGTTAGCCGCGACTGAAAATCACCAAACAAGTGTGCTGCGTGCATCCACATTGCTTGTGGATCGTTGTGGTTGTTCTGCTGCTTGTTGTTGTTGTTTTCGTATGGTGGCCGTGCCACATCGGCGTGGTGGGTGGCTTTTATTGGTTCCACTGTCGCCAGCGGCCACGCTGTGCCGGTACAATTAACATAGCAACAACAAAAAAAAAAACACCATAATACAAACAACAACAATAATAGAAACAACAAAATAAATAAGTAGACTACAACAACTAAAATATAAATATAAAAAAAACAACAACCACACAAAATAGAAAACAAACAACAATTGCCACCGTTAAAGTGGCTGCCGCTGCTGCTGACTGCAAGGCCTGTCGCTGTGTTGTTGTTGTTGCCAATAGTTTACTTGAAGAGACACGGCCATCAATGGCAGGCGAAATCAGTCGCCATCAAAAGTAGTTGCGATTTCTAAAAAATTTGCATTTAATTGGATGTTGGCGCTGACGACAATCGTGGATGTGCTGTCGTTGGTGACAAGTTTTGTTGCTCCGCAGTTGAATAGTGTTGCATATGTTATTGTATGCATATGTATGTATATATTTATATTTATATCGATGGAATTGAAAGCAAAATTGTTTGTCTCGTTTACATTTTGTTTATCTTTTCACTTTCGCTTGTTCTACTTTTGAGAAACATTTTTGAAAACTAATTTTGAAGCTGAAAATACTTCGAAATCATAAAATATCTTTGTTATGGCACCACCTTTTTCTTGCTGCTATTAGCTAGCAGGCTTAATTGATAATCTACAAAAATCAGTTCGCCCATCAGGAAAATATTCGACTTTATTCAAATAAATACCAAAAATATATGTGGTTGAAAAGTAAAAAAATAGAATTTGAAAATCTTTGAGATTATAAGAATGTGTTGACTTGCCACACATTTTATAGTGTCAATTTACCACTTGTGCGCAGCTTTTAGGAGTTGTGATGCTTTTTTAATCGGAAAATCTGGAGGAAAATAGTTGCCAAAACAATAGTCTACCCAGGACTATCTTGCTAAGGAATAAGAAGATTCTTGTGGCACAGTATACCTAACTTAGAATCGGAAAAAATCGCAAAAATTTTCGAGCATTTATTTTTGACAACTTTCGACGTGGATTAACTCGGCAACCTTGTTTCGAAGAACTTTATTAAATTTTTAGCGATTAAGCTCCATCAAGTACCAATATTGCTGTACGCAAATTGATATTGCAAGACCTCTATGTGACCTATCGTGAGATTGAGGCAACTATAGACATTAGCATAAATTCAATGTTGCTTGAACATTTGACTTTAAAAACAATTTGTTCCTCCCACAAAATTTGTCCAACGCTCAAAAAAATGCTCGTGTCTATTGGTCCAGGTGTTAAAAAATACGATAGCGGTGCTTTGAAATACGTCTATGATATCGTGACAGGTGATAGATCGTAGACTTACGCGTATAAGCCTAAAAGTAAACAGTAGTCGACTGTATGGATGTTTCAAAATGAGACGAACAAAAATTGTTGGCATACGAAGCAGCTTCAAGCCTAATAGTTGCCTGTTTTTTTTTGAAAAACTGGACATGTCGCAATCATACCACTAGAATAGTGCAGAACAGTAAATTCTGATTGATCAAGAAAATCAATCGCCGAAGACGGGTCACTCTGCACTATGACAGCGCGAACTCTTACACATCGACTGAAACAACTGCATTTTTGGGTACTCAAACATCGATCTGATGAGTCATCCAACGTATGGTCTTGACTCGGCACCGAATTACTTTTTATTCCCGTACATAAAAGTTAAACTAAGATGTCAACGTTTTTCGACACCTGTAGGGACATTTGATGCGTTCAGAACACATGCTTTGTATATGAGTGGCAGAGTGCCAGAGGTGCTTCGAAAATTGGATTAAAGTCATGAAAACGTGTATATGAATTAATGGAGAATATTTTGAAAAACGATAAAGCGATTTTCGATGGTTAAAATTTGTTTTTGTTATTTAATCCCGAAATATAAAAGGCAACCTTCGTATTAATAGTTTTTATTAAGGAAATATGTACAAATATCAGCAAATCAGAGTTGTCATTACTCAAAAAAAAAAAAAAAAATTACTGGTCCGCCTGAAGCCAACAAAATAATCCGCCCAGTCTCTTCAATGCCAAACCAAAACTTAAATTAATTGAACGCCTCCATCAAAATCGGCTAACTGTCTAGCTGTCTAGTCGCAGACCGGAAAGGTTACAAAATCGCAGACTTTCGGTGATAATGTTGGTGTGAATTGAATCAATTTATGTGCGAAATGCTTTGGGCAATATATAATATTTAAATATGTATATCATTATCACATTATGGTGGAGCGAAAAAAAATGTTTGTTTTCAAACCTGAGGGTAAAATTTGTAGATTATAAAAAATAAAATTTTTAGAAACTCACTCATTTTTTAAGTAAATTTCGAGTTAAAATTTTTTTTGGACAAAAAAAGTGTTTTTTTGATTTAAACTCTTTACATTTATTTAAAAATTACCCAATTTGACGGTTTCTGACTTAAGCATTTATTTTAACGCTTAAGTTAAGCATGTTGTCGTTTAAGACTATTTTTAAAACTCCAATAATGACCATAAAACCTTGTTTTAAGTTGATATCTTTTAATTGACCAGAAAGAGGAATCTCCACAGCTTCTAGAACACTTACCAAAAATTTTTTACGATATAAAAATTTTAACTCGAAATTTTACTTTAAAAGTGAGTTGCCTCTAGATGTTAAAAAAAAATTTTTTTTTCAAAAATTTTCTACTTTTATAATCTACAAGTTTTACCCTCAGGCTAAGCAAAAAAAAATTTTTTTTCGGTCCACCCTGATGTACATACATACGAGTATATCTATACATATAGAAACATATTAACATTTGTATATTTCAACATCTATTTTGGCATATCTAATTAGCATACTTAATTGTTGGTGGTTGTTTTTGTTTCAGCAACAATTGTTACTCAAATTCTGTTCGGCTCGGCTATCTGCTGTCACTGCGGATGTGGCAATAGTTGTGTTAATCAAAAAACCCACAATCAAAAAATTATTTGCACCGTTGCAAAAGACACGAAATTCTATTCTCCAACTCAATACAAAAACTTATTTACCGTAGGCAGTAAGAAGGGTTAGAAAAATTTAATGCTACACCAAAATGTTGCAAGTTGTAGCTTAATGCAGGTCATGCCACACTGGCGGCTGGGGCGGGCAAAAGCGTGGCGCTGTTAAAACGCTCGTTCTTTATTGGTTCTTGAATAACAACAACAACTCTGTACAATTCTAAAATGTTTAATTGCAAAGCAACAACCAAATTCTACAAATGTTGCAAGTATATTCATAAGTGTGCGCATTGTCTGGGCCGGATTAGAATGTTGTTTTATTA